CATCACCTCCGGCTTCTGGATCTGGTACGGCAAGACGCTGCACTCCTGGCGCAAGTTCTACAGCCGCCTGGCCCACAGCCGCCACGGCGAGACCACGGTGTGAGGGGCCCAGGCGGGATGGGTGCGGGGCGGGGGCAAGAGCTCGTTTCAAATCGGCTCTTCCTCCATCGGGGGAGGGGGAGGGCTGTTGCCGTCCTTGAAGGGTGTCTTGTAATTAAACCTGTAAATAGCCTTTGTAAATGGAATTATATATTTCTATTTAAAAACAAAAGGAACCACGCAGAGATCCCCCCCCCCACTCTCCTGCGGGGGAGGCCTGGCTCTCCCTGGCTCTGGTACCAGAGTTGGGTTTTTCCCCTTTCTCTGCCCTGGCAAATGGCTCCCCTCTCCCTGGAGCCACAGAGACGGAGTTTCTGTTTGTGTTGGCCGTGGGGGAGCGTTTTCGGTTGGACTTCCAGAAAAGCCAGAGCTGTGATCACTGGGCCTGTGATTTTTTTCAATGAAATTCTAGGCATTGTCCTTGGCTGGCCACCACTGCGTATGTTTAAAAAAAAAAAAAAAAAAGCCCTCCCTCCTTTCCTTCTTTTGGAAGTTTTATCGAGAAACTTTCTTTTCTATATGAAGAGACTTATTGAGGGGGGCGCCTCGCTCTTCCCCCAGCAGCAGCCCTGAGAGGGGTGGCCTGGCTGTGAGGGTCTCCAGCGGCTTTTGCTAAGCTCTCCTGCCCGACTAGACTGCCCTGGAGGGCAGCTGGGATTGACTGGCGAAGAAAACACCCCCCGAATCAGCGTATCTCGGCCCCTCTACCTCCCTTGTGCCTTAAAGCGCCTTCTCTGGCCTTGGACGTGTCCTTAGCCTGAAATGCTGGGCACAGACGTGCCTCCCTACACCACGCGTCCTCAGCTAGCCCTCTGGGGCACTAGCAAAGCCCAGAGTTTAAAAGGGCCCCCCTACTTCTGGGGGCTTATTCCTAACTGGAGAGCTGCAATCCAAAGGATAAGCCCTTGGCAGGGGCAGCCAAGCTGTCTCCTGGTAGGCATGGTGTTCAGCAGAAAGTGGGTTGGGAAGGATCTTTTTACTCCCTGCAGGGAAGACAGGGAGCAAGCTGGTTTGAAAGCCGGAGCTTGCAAAACCAAAGCCCACTGGAGGGGTTACTGCGCCTGCAAAGCTCCCGAGCCCACCTCCATGTGGTGTGAGTCTGCAAGGCGCTGCAGGACTAGTCCTTGGTTTTCCAGTTCCAGCCGAACTCGGCTCCCCGCTGAAGCTTTTGTAACTTCCAGTGTTTGTTGATTCTCCTATATCTGAAAAACTAGGAAGTCTGGCAGGTTTTTGTGAAGTAGAGGTGAAGACTCTCTCGGAGCCCTGGGCAGTGCCGAATTCTCAATCGCTTCCCTTCCTGCTTAAACTTTTTTAAAATGTCCAGGGTTTGCCAACGTTAGATTTTTGCAATTTTTAAAAAAAGTTTGTGTCCTACAGCACAAACGGTGAACCAGGGAGTAGAATATCGACAACTAGATTTTTAAAAAATCACAACCTTCTGCCACTGCGTACTGTTAACTTTCCTTAACTCCAGTATTAAAAAAGAGAAATGCACTAAAATTAAATGTACAGACTCTGCCCCGTCAATGAACGCTGCTGTCGGTTTGAATTAAGTGGAGAATATATAAATTTATCTATTTGTAAGGCTTTTAATATTCTATCTTTTTACAGTATTTCAGGGGAAGCGGCTTGCATTGATTCTTTGCCACCACATCAGCTATATTGTTGGACAGTTTCCCTGGGTTTTGGAGTGGAAAGGGGGCAGTCAGAAGAAATTCTAATGGATTGTACTGAGTGATGAGGACTATTTTTATATAAAATTCCCTACCTCTTGGGTTTAAAAAACCCACCTCAGGAATGCTAGAAATAATTGGCTCCAGCTCTGAACTCAAACTCTGCTTAATTTCACTGATCAGCTTCAGATCCTAAGGGCTCAGATTTGGTCTGATCAAAATCAACCAGTTCCCTGCACTTCAGAGTCTGTAAGGCTAGCCCAAAACTGAGGGGAAAATGCCATCCGCTTCCCTGTAAGCATCTGTAGGTCAAGAAGCCCCGGGCTAAACCCACTGAGAGCTGGGGTAGGGTACAAAAGTTGCATGAGTTTTGCAATTTGTCTCTGCTACAGATAGTGGGGGGGGGGAAGCACCCCTGGAATCTGGTCTCATTTTTCTAGTGACAAACGGAGAGGCCAATATCTCTTATTATTGTTATTTTCCCTCCTTGGTGGTTGAGGCGAGTGTTTCTCAACCAGTGGTAAGAGTACCTTTAGGGGTACTTGAGAGAAGTTGGGGGGGGGGCGGCTATGTCAACACAACTGAAATTTGGAGGAAAAAACAAATCCAGTGCATAGAGCCCAGCCCACATCTCTATCCCGTTAACCTTAACCAGCCCGGGCTGGCACCTTCCCACAGCAGAAGCCTGCCCTTGGGTGTCATTTGGGTCTATTTGCTATTTCTCCAGGATCCAACCCCCAGCGCAGGCGACTTTGCATTTCAAGATACAGCAGGATTCTCGTTGGACATGCCCCTCCTTCCTATCAGCCCCACCTCTCCCCAGCTTCTGCAAAAAGGGTGGCCAGCTGGTCAAACTTAGCAGGTATCCTGAGCCTCATTTCTGACCCTCTGTGGCCTGGAGCCCCTGTCTCAAGCCTGTCTCAGATGCTGAATTTCTTCCCTTACCTCGCAGAAGCATGTTTTCTTCAAACCCTGGGTCTCCCTTTTCAATCTCCTCTGGATGCTGGCTCCCTGGGCCCCACTGACCTCCCTGGGCCCTGGGGAACACCCAACCCACGGCAGAATTGGCCTCAGGACTCATTCATGGCCACCCAGCCCCACCTGGTCCTCTCTGGAGCCGCAAACACTCCCTGGATGGGCTTCCACCTCATTAAGGATGCAAATGAAGACTCAGACATCAAAAGAATTGAGTTCTGCTAATCCTGTTACAAAGGTGTAAATTGCTAAACTAATTTCAGTGCAAGGCTGGCTGCTTTGCGTAACAATCAATTGAATGCCAAGGTGCCCCGGGGGCGCAGAGAGGGTGGAAGCGAGGGGCGTGTCCCAGACAAGCCATAGTATTCCCAACCCTGGCTTCTTGCTGGTGCTTACCTGCCCCCCCTCACAATGGCAGAGCCGGGGCCTGGCCAGGGGGTTCCCAGGGGGCTGGGGGGGTCTTGCCCCCCGGGGGCCATGCTCTGGAAATACCTGGCTTGTGTCTTCTGCCCGTGCCCCCGACCCTCCTGCTGCTTCTCAGCGCTGCCCTGAGCCTTGAAAGGGGCAAGTGCCAGCTAAAAGGGAGGCCTGCCCCCCCCAGGGCTGGCCCCCCACCCCACTGGGAGGGGAAGGCAGCACCCCCGGGCCTGGCCGGAGCCTTCCCGTTGGCTCTTTGAAGGCGCCTGGGTTTGTGCCCTCTGAACGCAGCCTGGCTCCTCAGCTGAGCTCCCCAGCAGCTGGGCCCCGTGAGGCTGCTGCAGGAAGGCATTTTGGTTCCCCAGGGAAGCTAGAGCCCCCCCCTCCCCCCACTGCGACAGCCTGTGTCTCTCCATGGCCAGCCCGTCCCGGGCTGCGTGCTGGGGGAGGTGCGGGCTGGCCCCCCGGGGCTGCAGGATCCGGGTGCGGGGGTTTGGCGTGGAGGGGCTCTTGCTTCCAAACGTCGCCTTGTGCTGCTGCCGTTGAGTGTGACTGCGCCAGCCCCTGCTGCCTTCCCTGGGGCTGGGGCTGGGCTGGACGGGGTCCTGGATTCACGGGCCCCACAGCGACCAGCTCTCCACCCCCTTGTTCCCGGGGGGCGGCCAGGCCCTGTGGGAAACCCACAGAGCGAGGGGCTGAGAAGGAAGCAGCTTCAATCCGTGCGTCCCCCTGTTCTGTAAACGACCCTTGTTCTGGGCTCGCCGGCTCCTTGGAACCGAGTTTCATCGTTTGCCCTGGACCCACCTTGGGACTCGATACAAGGGCCTTTCCCGGGCTGGGGGGCGGTTAAGAGTCCAGTTGAATTGGAAGCTGCTTTTTGAATGGGAATGGGGGGAGGGGTTTGTTCCCAGTTAAGTGTGGAAAGTTGACAGCCTGGCTTTGAAATGGAGATTTTCCCCCTTAAACTCCAGCAGCACAGGAGTCTGCTTAATGCATTCAAGAGCCCAGCTGCTGCCGAGAAGGAAAAGAGCAGAAAGTTTCGTCATGAGCCACCCCAGGCCCCGCCGGGAGCGGGTGCTTCTCTCGGCTCCGAACGCGCATCACGGGCCAGGAATGATTTAAATAAATAAATAAATAGATTCCGTCGCAGCAGCCGAGACGGCCCAGGGGTGCAGACAAAGAGCCCTTTACAGGACTCGGTTAGGAAGCTGCTCAGGGTGGTGGGGCGAGCGGGGTGGCTCAGGAACCACCCAGCTTTGGCTTTTTCCAGGCAGCAGTCAGCCCCCAACGGGCCTTGGGCAGTGACGGAAGCAGCTGGAAAGGGGGGCAGGGGGACGCCACTGCCTGCCCAGGATGTGGGGTGCTGCCTTCGCAGCAGTGGAGGGCCTAGATGGCAGCTGCCGACCTCTGACTCCCATGGGGCTCCGAGCCTGCGAGCTCCCCCCCGGTGCTCAGGCTGTGGAGCAGGCGTGCGGCCTAGTGGGCGCATTGGTCTTTTAAGCTGATTTCAGACCTGAAAAAAAGAGGGGGCCCTGAGGCAGGAATTGCCCCCCTGTTGGTGCTTTAACAAGCAGCCCTGGGCTGGCGAGGGAGGGGCAGGGGGCTCTTGGCTGCTCCATGCCCTGTGAGTAATGCAGCACGGGGGGGTGCTGCCCCCCCCGTAGAGGTGGGTCCCTTTGATGTGAACCAATAAGGCCTGTGATGTTTTCACAGCTGGCTTAGTGTGGCTGGGCTCTGGGGAAGTCAATCAAGTGCGCCTCTGCCCCCCACCTTCCCCAATCAAGCCCCCCCCCGCAGAG